GGTATAAACTGTGGGGCAATGAAAACAGCAAGAACATGCCTCATGTATTCCTACTCTCTGTCAGAGTGGAGTTCTAGAAGATTCAAGCCTATCATAGGATTATAGTCCATTTATCTCTATGCATATTTACAATGTATTCAATATGCCCCCATTGAAATGAATAGAGTAAAAGGCACAAGAAAGCATCATAGTAACCCTAAATGCCTTATTTAGGCTCCTAAAATGAAGAAATTAAGTATTTAACACTTGCCCGTAAGCAGAATTTCTAGTTTTAGTATTTTCACACCACCTGCCATAACAGGGTCCTGGAGAACCTAGACCAGTAGTGGAATTAACAGTACTGTACTATTAAAATATTAAAACCAACAACTCCTGCTTCAACTCAAAAGTCACTGCCAAAATAGGCAAGTGAGCAAGCATTCAGCTGAGGCCATGCCAGGGAAGGCTGAGTGAAAGAGGAAATAGCAGCAAGCCTTTTAGTAAGTAGAACTTTGAATTTATAGTGGACCAAGGCAGACAGCCTCAGTTATGGACACATTCCACAGTAAGCTACATCTACTTTCCTATGAAAATTTAAAACAATACTCTGAACTTCAATAGTCAATAACTTCATAGTGCATTTGGGAAAGCTAAAAGACTGCGGGCTAAACATAAACGGGCCTTGTGTTCACTTGCTAGAAGCATTCACATGTGAGTTCAGCAAACTGTTGTGCTGAAACGCCAGTAAACTGGAAGGCTAGGCAGCATGACGCCTCAAAAGTAATTCTGAGCCCACTACAAAGACATTTAAAACACCTGTGTAATGGGCTAGATACAGTATAAAAGTCCCAACTTTGCTGAAAGCTTTTGTATCTCATGAGCTTTATGAAGTACATGTCCACCCACATCCTGACCAGACAAGTGTCGTCCGTATATATAGGTGAACTAGTTTTGGACTAGATTTACTGGTCCTCCAAGAAAACTGGCATAAGCTTTAGAATTAATGAAGTATTGATTTACAGTTTATTTGACTTTTTTTTTTTTTTTTAAATTGTGAAAACCTATAATTCTGAAAAAGGTAACCAAAACATTGCTTTTATCACTCAGTTGTTTACTGCAGGCCCAATCCTGAAAGCTAGAGGTTGATGGAGCAGATCATCTGCTGATGTAAGCCAGCATGGTGCCACTAATATGCCAGTGGAGTAGTGCCAACTTACATCAGCTTTTTTTTTTTTTTTTTTTTTTAAATTGTGAAAACCTATAATTCTGAAAAAGGTAACCAAAACATTGCTTTTATCACTCAGTTGTTTACTGCAGGCCCAATCCTGAAAGCTAGAGGTTGATGGAGCAGATCATCTGCTGATGTAAGCCAGCATGGTGCCACTAATATGCCAGTGGAGTAGTGCCAACTTACATCAGCTAATAATCTGGTCATACTGTCACAACAGAAGCTGGGGGCGTTTAGTTCTTTTCCACATCAGGCTCTGTTACATATTGATTTGCATGGCACAGCATGAATGTATGCATGTTTTTACTTTGATTTGTTCTGCATTGAGAGATTATTTCATAGATGTGATCTGGGCACCCTCAATGTTGTAAAATCACTACGGTATATTTTTTGTTTTCCGTGGTTCTCAAAGTGTGCTGAGATACCATGTACAAAGCAGCAAAACAAGTTAAATGAGCACGAGATTAATCAGGAAATAAACTGTTCTGTGTGCCTCATGACATTATATAATTATCCAGCTGCATAAATCTTTTTTTTTTTTATTGCTAGTAACTGAAATAAGACTAAAGTACTGCTTGTCCATGGACCATAAACAAACTGAGTACAATACTGCACAAAAAGCACATAGCAGACAGATGCAGGACATATAAATTAGCAGATTCATTTGAATAAATGGTGATCTGATTTCACCCTTTTTGTGCCTCGCCAGCAATGAAGTACATAGATATATTTCCTATTGAGAAATTAATCATATTTTATATGTTCTGAAAAGCCAGATATATTTAAGTATTTGTTAATATTTGTCCATTAGACTCTTCCCATGCCATGTGTATCCTCCTTTCTATTTATACTGGCATTGATCAGCTTGTTCACTTCCAGTTTAAATGATTCAATTCTGATTTGATTGCCATGTAATTTAAATGCAAATAATTACTGTAAGGATGACATTTAGGAAAACAGCTCTGCTAAGCAGGAAGGTCTTTATTAGGCATGGGATTCTGCCAGTAATATCAGAAGCATCCCTTTGACTATGAGATGTGGGAACAAACCATTTCAGTTCTTTTAAAATATGCCCCAATTTCCCTCTGACTCCCCTTGATTAAAACTCTTCTATACCATCATCAAGTTTGGTATCAGGGCAGAGCATAGGCCACTGACAGAAAGGAAGAGGGGAGAAGACTATTTTTAATTTGGTTTTAGTTCATAAAGTTGTGCTCTAGATAACTGCAGTAAAATTACCCTCTTGTGAAATCACATTTGTATTTCATGCTGCACCAAGTTCTGAGCCAGGGTCTGATTGAAAAACACTGAAAAGTGTTTCACACAATGAAAAAGCAGTAGATAGAGGAAAAAAACCTCTTACTTTATAATCATCAAAACCAGCTCGTTTCCCCCTTCTTTCTCCTTTTTGTTTTCTGGGTGGGTTTTTTTTATACTTTATTAGCTCTGCCATGTATGAGAAATCTGGAGATACTGGATCGCCTGAGGACAGAGCTGAGACTAAATTACAGTCTCACCTTCCTTTCTAAATGTCTCTATAACAAGGTATTCTTTATATGCTAGCTGTGTTAGCAGATCCATAGAGATGTCAGGGAAAGCACCAATGAGAAGGACAACTCCTGACTCTGCCCATTTCCTGACATAGCAGCGTCTTCAATTTGGGCTCATAATTTCATATTCAACTCCTCATCCATCACAGTCAGCAGACTTTAATGGTACCATTTGGAATGTAGTCCTCAGTAGGGAGGGCTTCACAAATACCAGGGCAGCATGTGAAAAAAAGCGATTCTATGTCATTTCTTTTCTCACAGCACGGAAATCTTGTCCTTTCACCTCAACACACATCAACGAGCCAGTGTTTGGTACAGTGCCTCCATTAAAACTTCACTGTCCCTGTTAAACACAAGGCAGTCCCAGGGATCTTGATTTTAGCATGCAGTCTCACAAGATGCACTCGCTGCATTTCAGTTTTGTCTACAGGCTAGGTATGGCAGAAGTCACACGTTTAGCAAGTATCAAGAGACCACAGCCTTCTTGAAGTCACTATTTGTGTTTAGAAGTAGCCAAAGTCAGTCAAAGCATGTCTGAAAGGACCATTCTGCTAGGTGCCTTGCTGCCTTCTCTCAGGATCCTGAACTTCACTACTTTGTAGTCATTGCAGTCAAGGTTGCCCCCAAACTTCACATTCTCAACCAGTTCTTCCTTGTTTGTAAGTACCAGATCCAGCAGAGCATCTTCCCTCATTGGCTTCATGGCTCCTGTGCCTTTCCCTTGTTGGATTCATGTTCACAGAGCAGGAAGGCAGAGGAATAAAAGATTTATTTGCAATATGGAGATCCCAAGTTTGTTTCCTATCCTAAAATCCAGGCTCCTAGACAAAAACTAGCCTGATCTCAGAGAAAGATTTTCTTCATATTTAAGAGAACTGTTCTGCTGCGTTTTCATTTTTTTTGCCTCTTGACAATCACTTGGACAGCAGAATTGCCAGGGGAAGCTGTCGGGCTCTTGCAGTCCCTGGCTATGGCTCCAGTGAATGCAGGAGCCTATGAAGTTCCTCTAGCTTCAGACCCTACAGAATAAAAACTATCAATATACTTGTCGATGATTTAGACTAACAATAAATCGACCTTGCTTTGAAAACTTCATCAGAGATACTAATAAGACTGTTCAACACGGTTGAAATGCCTGGCTCTCCTGTTGTTTTAACATCTCTGAGAATCAAGAAAAAAACCCTTATTTGCTTTATTTAAAAAAAAAAAAAAAGTCACTGTGAATATTATTTTATACCACCAAATGACTTTCAGCCCTCAAAATTCAGATAGTAAGCTAAAGGTACAAGAGACTTAAATTGGGTAGTTCAGCAAGAATTCCCTTCAAGGCTCTCAGACCTGAAAGATTTTTCCTAGAACAAGATACTTAGCAGTTTTTGCTGACTCACATACAGATTCAACCATTATAGTTTGAACAGTGTAGTTCATTCAAAAACATACATAACTAGATCTCCTCTCTGACAGTGGTGTAAACTGATATAGCTCAGTTAAATTGAGCTGAATACCAACATTCACCAGGTAGGGATTTGGAGGATGGGGAGGCAGGGGAGAAGGGGATGCAAAAACAGCAAGTCTACCCCCTACAACTTTTAACCAAAATCTGGACAGATTCTTCTAGTATTTTCTTTCATGCTTTCTTGCATCTTTGTTTTACTTACATTAGCAATAATAATCCTTCACTGACTGCAGGGACACCTCGTGGTGAGGACAGGTGACAACAGCAGACTGCAATTCAATTAATTAAACCAAGCAGCAAGACTGACAGATGTTTCTGCTCCTTAGGATAATCAGTATTTCACAGGCACAGACTTCCACTCCCACTCTGCTTTTAGGGCATACATTAACACATCCAGAACAGCAAACACTGACACAGCAACTTCTAGAACAAAGGACTGAGTTGTCCAGCAGACCTGAACTGTCTAACAGTTCACTTACAATTATTTACATTTGTCTTCCGGGGTCTACAGTAGCCGATTCAACTTGACACTCAGCTGGAGAAGCAGTCCCCAGAATAGCTGTTATGGCTTTTCCCTCCTCCCCTTTGTTTAATGTGCCAACAAAACGCATTTCAGTGACTCACTGCAAAATTTCTTGCTGAGATTTTCATGGCTTTTTTTTAAAAGGCATCCATGCGCGTATGGTTTTTAACAGGGATTCCCTCTCTCCTCATCGTAACTAAACTGTGACAGTGTCACTGCAGCACCTGATCCGTTCCATAATAAGAATTGCATCAGCTTGCTTACCCAGTGCAGCGACCCAATGCAGACCTTGGCAGCCAGGAGAGGAATGGTGGGATCTGTAGGTCGCAGTTTAGCACACTCTTTGAGCACTGACACAGCATATGCTGACTGGAGGAGGAGGAGGGGGAGAGAAGGGGAGGAAATAAAAAAGGGTGATTAGACAATGCTGTTACAGAGTCCAAGCAAGATATTTCAGTGAAATGTACAAAAAAGTGCTATGAACTAAAGAACCACATGTCAGCAACAAGTTTGCAACTTTATTCCCACCACACACAGCCACATGTGTGTGCACATATGCACACAAACACACGCTCTTCCAATGCTCAGAGGAAACATGCCAAAGAACCAGCTCAGTTGCGCCCTTTACAAGGAACAGTTTTCCTCAGCTGTTAAGGCACTGGTTATTTTAATTCTGCCCTCCCAATTCACAAGAATTCTGCTATAGGTTTCCTTGCGCACAGCCATCTTCCAGTAAGCCAGAAGAGAGCTCATAAAGAGCGTATCCTCCAATATGTTAACATTTTAGGTTGACTCTACTCTGAGATAGGTTTATGCAGCTGAAGCAATCTGCTCTGTAGATCGTTTTGTGTCTTCTCCAGTTCCAGAGCATACAAGAACACAACTGGGATCCCATCATGCAAAGGGTGGAGTGGGCAACTACAGAGCAATATGCTGTTCAGTGGGTGGTCCGAGTAGCATGTGTTAGAAAGAATGTCCATAAAATTCTTGCTGTCCTTCTGGTGTTAGGTTACCATTAATGAATGATGTTTATTAAGATTAGCACTGACATAGCCCTTTGGTTCAATGTACTCGACAATCATTGCTTTTTACAGCACATACTCATGGCTGCCACATTTCAGAAGATTTAAAGGCAAAGGAGGAAAGCTCTGGTCTAAGATGCTGGTGAGAAGGTCTGGTCAGCTGATAAGGAGGCGACAGAAGTTGCCCTGCCACAGTCTCCTAGCCCACTCCACCTGGACCACAGTTTCTTTCACATTCATAGAATCATAGAATGGTTAGAGTTGGAAGGGACCTTAAAGATCATAAAGTTCCAACCCTCCTGCCATGGGCTGGAACCCATTCCCAGCCCTCCTCACTAGTGCCCTTTGATCCCCACAAATTCTCTCAACCTTGAGCTCAAGGGGAAGTTTTCTTCTCTCAGAATTTCTCCTGATGTGCCTCATTCCTCCAAAACTCTTCTACACAGTCCCAAGACACACACAGTCCTCTCTCACTGAGTGTTCCCTCTCAAAGGAGGGCATTAAATAGTCACGGCCTTTCCATATTACAGGACAGCAATAACAGAATCTTGCAGAGTCAAACTAGCCGCTATTCCTATCAGGTCCTGGCCATCTCCTCCTGACCCTGACCCACCAGAGCTCTGAGCAGTACAGGAAGCTGGGTCTGGTGTTTGCTCCAAGTCCCTGCAGCCCAGCACTGCAGCCCCATGCTCCTGCTGGCCATCAGCACCTCCTCTGCCTCACACCACATCTACCGCCCCCTTTCCTCACAGGTCCAGTTCTTGCTGTGGGATTCAAAAGCCTGGATAGGAATTTGCTTGGAAAGGAGCCTGGGAAAAGGGTAAAACAGATGTAGAGCAGCCCTGCCCGTGCTAAGGCAAAGATGGGTTTTGTAACCAAAGACACAGCAGCGGAGAGCAAACCCTCCTGCTTGAAAAGCTTAGGTACCTGCTGCATGGTCTGAAGAGAAGCAACAGCGTGCCCTGTGTTCTCCAGGCTGCTCCCACCTACCTGGCACATCAGGTATCATCAATAAAAGTAAGGAAATATTTGCTGTTTTACAACTCCAAATGCACAATTAGCCTGAAGTCAGAAAGAAGCTTGTCTCAGAGCAAAACCAGGAATCAATAAATTTTGTCCTAGAGCTTAAACCATTACCTCGTCCTTCTCAGAAACAAACGCTTGAGTAATTCAACCCTGAGGTATGGGAAGAAACACACTGCTGTGCTCTGCTGTCACAAGGTGATGAGCATCCCTCAGAATGAAACTCCCTGACACCTATTTGTTCAGAACACATAGTGTCTCAGGTTTTAATGGCATCTTATTTCTCCCTCTCACAGAATGCTACCTGCACTGCAGGCAGCTGGGATTCCCAGTAGCACTGCTGGACGTGTTGGAAATGCAAGCATAACCCCGTAAGGGTACTCGCCTGGCAATTCATCTTCTTGCTCTCCTGCCCATATTCCAACCCCACAGGTGTTTGCAGATAAGAGAAACTCTAAGAGCAGAGCACGACAACAATCACTTTGCTGGTTGGTGTATTTGCAGGTGGACCTCCCCCAGCCCTTGTCATCTCACCACATAAAAGCTAACTGAAAAGGCCAGGTATGTAAAAGACCATACACTGTCCAGCACCAACACTTTCAGAAACAGATACAAACCGAACCCAGCGATGATTCTCAGCTCCTCATCAGCAGTGCAACTGCAGGGAAAGCAGGAGGCACCTGGGGGCTGGTGACAGCTGCCCCACCGGCCAGCACAGCCAGCACTAGCACAGACCAGTGCAGCGAGAGGCCTGTCCTAATTTGGTCCACAGCTGTAGCACCTTTCAGGGTCTACATACACCAGAGGTGAAGTAATACAACCTGGTTCCATGCCAGTTCCTCTTAAACTTTGCTCCTTCCCTGTCCACAGCCTGTCCATTGAGTAAGGCTGGTCCTCAGGACACAAGCCAACCCTGCAGCCTCCACTAGCCTTAAACTGCTTCTCCCCTCCATCCTGAGTCTGTGCAGGAAGCAACTGGAAAACAGTGACTACTGGATACCACAAAACAGAAAATCCCACCCTGTGCCTACACCCAAACACCTCGTGTGGAGTCACTTTATCACATGTACTCAGGAGCTTCTCAACATTCATTTACAGAGCGAGCACCAGTTTCCACACCTCTTCGAAAACATTTACAAAGTTCTGTCATTTTCAAGAAGTTTATAAAATTTGCAATTAAACATATAGAGCAGAAATGGTTTTAGAGACAGGGTGGCATGAAGCCTTTCTCCCCAGCATTTTAAAAATTCAAGAGATCTATACAATTTCACCTTGAAAACTTTACTCAGCAGAAATTATATATAGATGATGAAAATGTTAGCCAAGGAATGATGGTAGAAAGAATATCCCACTCCCACAGTGACCTTACTTAGGGGAGACTGGTGTGACATATAACGTCAAGGTGTTTTAAACATGTACAGTAATAGGCAGGGAACAAATATAATCCACTCAGTATTGAATACAGATGTCATTGGCTGGTAAAAATATTTAATATGAAACAGTGTTTGTGTAACATTGAAATAATCTGATAATTAAAATGTACATATTCTTTCACTTAGCGTGGGTGGACCAGGCAGCCAAGCGCATTGTTTTTGAGATTCACTGCAAGGCAATAATAATTAGATTTATTGGTGAGGCGTGTTTTGAGAAGAGAAGAGCTTGAACTCCACGTGAGTGCATGCTTCCTACTCATAATTTTGAGCTTCAGAGGGGCTCATAAAAATTCAAGCCAGGGTTTAAGTTCTTTCTTTTTAGCTTGCTAATTGCTGGATTATAACGACTGCACTGGAACCAGTTCCCAAGGATTTCAGAAAACTAGGGATTTGCCCCTGGGCCTCATTTGGCTTCTCTCTGGGAAAAAGACTTCTAAGTCCCCTCAAACACACACAAACCCGTTAAACAGAAATGGTTTAAAGAAATGCCAAGCTTGCCAAAAGCTGCGTCATGGGGGTTTCAGCTCTATTTATGGGAGGTCTAATGTACGAGTTCTCAGCCTTGGGATCCTGATCAGGTTTGAGGAGATTCATGACCATCCTCCCTTTGTTATGACCAACAAAGTACTGAGCTCAAATCAGGCTATCGAATGAAAACACTTTTTTAATGGGAATGTTGATCCATATAAAATAAAATAAAATAAAATAAAAAGTGAACTGCATGTAAGGGACTTAAGAACTTGAATTACCAGTTAGGCATCTCCATCCTTCACATACCAACAACTTTGTGGTTTTTGCAATGGAGACAGGGAAGGACATGGCACTACTGTTCCATATTTAAATCCGGTATCTATAGGAAGCTGGTTTTCTCCATCAATTTTTTCCTCACCTAATCTACTTGCATACAATATTTTTCTTCTGCAGAGATCACAAACATGTTCCACAATAATTTATGAAAAGAAAATTAGGAAAGGCAATTTTTGGTAAGTAGCATGCAACACTAAGAGCTGCTTTCGATACAGACTTCTGAAAGAGCTCTCTGTACCATATCCGATATGGTGGGGCACTTCTTGATCTGCAGCGAGAAATCACAAGGAAGCTATGAGAAAGGAGAAGGATGGGGAGGACACCTTCCTCTAAGTAATTACTGTAGCCATGGCTTTGAATCCTATAAGGGAATAAAATGTAAGGAAAAACTTCTATCCAAATACAAACCAGAACTCCTATTCCCCATTTACTAATTATATAATGAAGCATGCAAGCATACTCCTCAAAGATGCTTGCACATGAGCAGTACAGAATGAAGAATAGTCTACAGCCTCTCCTTACTTTTCCAAAAGGCTCAAGAGATCTCACCATCAATTATGGTAAATGCATAGGTACTGCCCAAATTCTGGTTTTCCTGGCTCACTCCAACACAATTTTCATTCCTTCCCTTTCTCTCCCACCATACCAAAGCAACAAAAAGGAGGACATCAGAGATTTGTTTCCTATTTAGAATATAAAAACAGCACAAATGTAAGTAAAAGGAAGAAGAATTTCCAGACAGTAAATCATACTAGGCAGACTTGACACACCATAAACAGTTGCTCTTCTCTTGCAAAGGTTCCAAAAACCTTTCTACTTTTTTTTTTTTTGCTTCTTTGGTAATCCTTTTCAGCCAGAGGAAACAATGTTCCTCAAGGTGGTGGTTTTGGTAGACAGCCTCATTCCCAATTCACCTGGCAGTTAACCGCACAGATGAATCTGCACAATTAGTACTGCTTTATTTCTAGCATCATCCTGTCTGATCTTAAAAACTGGAAAGGTATTTCAAATTCTCAAAGGGATTGGGGAGTAGGAGTGAGGTGGAATCTTTCATCATTACACAAGAATTAGTATTCCCTGTATC